GAGGAAGCTGAAACTATGAATAGACCAATAACAAGGTCTGAAGTTGAGGCAGCAATTAAGAGCCTACCACACAAAAAAAGCCCAGGTCCAGATGGATTCACAGCTGAATTCTACCAGACACACAAAGAGGAGCTGGTACCATTCCTTCTAAAACTATTTCAAACAATCCAAAAAGAGGAAATCCTTCCCAAATCATTTTATGAGACCAACATCATCCTGATACCAAAACCCGGCAGAGACCCAACAAGAAAAGAAAACTTCAGGCCAATATCCATGATGAACATAGATGCAAAAATCTTCAATAAAATATTGGCAAGCCGATTGCAACAGCAAATCAAAAAACTTATTCATCACGATCAAGTAGGATTCATCCCGGGGATGCAAGGCTGGTTCCACATACGCAAGTCTATAAACGTAATTCACCACATAAACAGAACCAAAAACAAAAACCACATGATTATCTCAATTGATGCAGAGAAGGCATTTGACAAAATTCAACAGCCCTTTATGCTAAAGACCCTCAATAAACTCGGTATCGATGGAACATACCTCAAAGTAATAAAAGCTATTTATGACAAACCAACAGCCAATATCATACTGAATGGGCAAAAACTGGAAGCATTCCCTTTGAAATCTGGCACTAGACAAGGATGCCCTCTTTCACCACTCCTATTCAATAGAGTACTGGAAGTTCTAGCCAGAGCAATCAGGCAAGAAAAAGAAAAAAAGGGTATTCAAATAGGAAAGGTGGAAACCAAATTGTCTCTATTTGCAGACGACATGATAGTATACCTAGAAGACCCCATCGCCTCAGCCCAAAAACTCCTGAAACTGATAAGCAACTTCAGCAAAGTCTCAGGATATAAAACCAATGTGCAAAAATCACAAGCATTTGTCTACACCAATAACAGACTTAAAGAAAGCCAAATCAAGAACGAACTGCCATTCGCAATTGCTACAAAAAGAATAAAATACCTTGGAATACAACTCACAAGGAACGTAAGAGACCTCTTCAAGGAGAACTACAAGCCACTGCTCAACGAAATCAGAGAGGACACAAACAGATGGAGAAACATTCCATGTTCATGGTTAGGAAGAACTAATATCGTGAAAATGGCTATACTACCCAAAGTAATTTACAGAATCAATGCTATCCCCATCAAGCTACCATTGACTTTCTTCACAGAACTGGAAAAAACCACAACTTCATATGGAACCAAAAGAGAGCCCGCATCGCCAAATCAATTCTAAGCAAAAAGAACACAGCGGGGGGCATCACACTACCGGATTTCAAACTATACTATAAGGCTACAGTAATCAAAACAGCATGGTACTGGTACCAAAACAGAGATATAGACCAATGGAACAAAAGAGAGGCACCGGAGGCAACACAACATATCTACAACTATACAATCTTTGATAAACCTGACAAAAACAAGCAATGGGGAAAGGATTCCCTATTTAATAAATGGTGTTGGGAAAACTGGCTAGCCATGTGCAGAAAGCAGAAACTGGACCCCTTCCTGACACCTTACACTAAAATTAACTCCAGATGGATTAAAGACTTAAACATAAGACCTGGCACGATAAAAACCCTAGAAGGAAATCTAGGCAAAACCATCCAGGACATAGGAGTAGGCAAGGACTTCATGAACAAAACACCAAAAGCATTGGCAACAAAAGCCAAAATAGACAAACGGGACCTAATCAAACTCCACAGCTTCTGCACGGCAAAAGAAACAGTCACTAGAGTGAATCGGCAACCAACAGAATGGGGAAAAATTTTTGCAGTTTACCCATCTGACAAAGGGCTGATATCCAGAATTTACAAAGAACTCAAACAGATTTACAAGGAAAAAACAAGCCCATTCAAAAGTGGGCAAAGGATAAGAACTGACACTTTACGAAAGAAGACATATATGAGGCCAACAATCATATGAAAAAATGCTCATCGTCACTGGTCATCAGAGAGAGGCAAATCAAAACCACATTGAGATACCATGTCACGCCAGTTAGAATGGCGATCATTAAAAAATCTGGAGACAACAGATGCTGGAGAGGATGTGGAGAAAAAGGAACACTTTTACACTGTTGGTGGGAGTGTAAATTAGTCCAACCATTGTGGAAGACAGTGTGGCGATTCCTCAAGGCCTTAGAAATAGAAATTCCATTTGACCCAGCAATCCCATTACTGGGTATATACCAAAAGGACTATAAATCATTCTACTATAAGGACACATGTATACAAATGTTCATTGCAACACTGTCTACAATAGCAAAGACCTGGAATCAACCCAAATGCCCACTGATGAAAGACTGGATTGGGAAAATGTGGCACATATACACCATGGAATATTATGCAGCAATCAGAAATGATGAATTCGTGTCCTTTGTAGGGACATGGATGAATCTGGAGAACATCATTCTCAGCAAACTGACACAAGAACAGAAAATAAAACACCGCATATTCTCACTAATAGGCGGGTGATGAAAAATGAGAACACATGGACACAGAAAGGGGAGTACTAAACACTGGGGCCTATTGGGGGGAAAAGGGGAGGGCCAGTGGGAGGGGGAGGTGGGGAGGGATAGCCTGGGGAGAAACGCCAAATGTGGGTGAAGGGGTGAAAGCAAACAGAACACACTGCCATGTGTGTACCTATGCAACTGTATTGCATGCTCTGCACATGTACCCCAAAACCTAAAATGCAATAAAAAAATAAGAAAAAAAAAAAAAAAAAGAAATAAAAATAAAGAAGTCAGTCCAGGGTCATACAACCGGTAAATTGTAGGGCCGGTATTCAAACACAGGTTCTGCTTCGAAAACCCTTATTTTTAATTGTATGTTAATTATTTATTATATCTAGCTTAGAATTAGGTGATCAGGCAGAAAAACTAAAATTTGATAGAATCAAAGAAGTAGAATAGAATGAATCAACATTACTTTATAAAATGATGAGAAAATTTGATTCATTTTTTTTCTTAAAAAAAAAAAACTGAACTGTAACTGTAGATAATAACCAGAAGCATAAAGGCACCTAACTGGGAATTTCTTCAATAAACTACAAACAGAAATTAATTATGAGTGGGTGACAACACGATTAAATACTACCCAAAGTTAAATTAATCTGAGAAACCATATGGCCTCCACAGGAGCTTTGTGATTTGAAACAATATTAAGAAAAGAAGGAAGAAAAGGAGGCTGGGAGGAAGAAATGAAGAGAAGTGAAGGGAAAAAGGAAGGAAAACATTTTTAATAATAATACTTAATATCTTGATGATTAATCTTGTGATTACTAATACTTAAGGCTGTTCAATATTTACTTACCTATTATAAGACAAGTACATTCAGAAGCATACTGAAGGAACATTCTAACTTACTTTCTTAATAAGCTCCTCTGGTATTCCTATCATCGAGTATTAAGAGGAAGATGGCTCAAAGAAAGGCAATGATGATGTTCACCGTAACAAAGCCCACAGAATTTTAGAACCGGAAATAATTTTTACAATCACCTTATAGATTAGGCCCAAAGAGACTTACCACTTGGCCCAAAATTATATAACTGGTTCCAACTAGCCAGGATTAGTGATTCTCATGTTTAATCTCTACACAACATATTAACGAAAAAATAAAACAAAAATCTGGGCATAATCTAACCAGAAATATAAAGCAACATTATTGACAGTAACATAATTTGCTTCACTAGAAACAACGTGGTTTTTAGACAAACATTCAACTTTCCAGCACTTATTTTGCAAATAAAACAACTATGAAAGCTCTCCACTACAGAAATATGTAGAAAGCATACAAAAACGCTAAATATAAAAAACTGATAATTTTTAAATGAAATCATTTATTTGTCTATGGTGGGAGTCAGCATAAACAATTATAAATCTTTCATTGGGGCAATGCTTTGGCAAAAAATATCAGCGCACTATATAAATTACAGTACATCTATCCAATTAAGCTAACTCACAAGTGAAAGACTGCTCTTAAAAAAGAGGTATGGAAAATGAAAAGCCAATCCAGAGATTATATTCCAAACAATATAAAAATCAGGAAAAAGGATTTTTAAAACTTAAAGGTTGCTGCTGCTGTCATATCATGTAAAGCCTATGAAATAACCTTAGATGAAAGTGGAATTATAACAGCCTGATACGTTACCAATAATTATAACAGCCTGATACATTATCAGTATACCAGTTCTCAAAGTAAAAGGAGTAGGAAAAAATTCCCAAGGAAAGGTATATAAATGGAAGAGATCATAATATTCCTGATTAAATTAGGGGACTAATTTCCCATCAGGAAGAACAAACAGAAAACCCAAACTTTTAAGTAACCATGCCAATGTGGAAAGGGAGGAAAAGAGAGAGGGGAAAAGGGAGTAAAGAAAAAATGGAAAAAATAAATGTGAAAGGAAGAAAAGTCAAAAAACACAAATTTCAAACACACAGGCACATGCACACACAGAGTATAAGATCATTTTTTAAATAACTTGAGGCAATACTAAAACTAATTATAAAATATAAAGTATCTCTTAAAGGAGTAAAGTATTAAAATAAAGCATATAAAATAAATACCATATTACAATAGTGAACCCTACTTATTATTATTCTTAAAATCATTTTCAATTACTTAACACTAGAGTAATAACTAAAAGTGTGCTATGACATGGTGCTTATCTGATACATTTAAAATTCATGGGACTAACTAAGTAAAAAATACAGTTTAAGCAAAATTATCTGAATAAGCAAAGTTTAACTAAGCGATGTCACTGTAATTAACTTCCAATTTTAAAAAAGAGCATATTGAATGACAGCAGCAATCAGCATTTCTGTTATCAGTACTCTGCACCACAGAGCAGCATCATAAAAGTCTTCCATGAAATAAAGACAGAGAATGTTAAATCAATTGCTATCACAAGGATGACCCAAGAGAGGATTTCTACTGCCCCCCAAAAAACATAAAATGTATAATTCTATAACTTAATGCTACTTACCTTGTCTTTGAAGATATGTGGATTTTGGTATATGAAATCTCGGTAGCTTTCTGTTCGTATTTTGTCCTAGGGTGAAGAGAGGAAAACACTGTTTATAGGACAGTCTAAACAAATAAATTTTTTTAAAGGGATATATTTGCCATTTTATCACACATTGCTAGTTTCCATAGCAGTTTTTATACTTGGGATATCAAGCTTATTTCTTCTCCTAAGAATACAATAAATAGAAATAGCAACAACACAAATAAAATATTTTAAGAAGACTGAAAAATAAGACCCAAGTTGTTAAAAATGTATATATTTTCCTCTTTACGTCCATTATCATTGTAATAATTAAAGCTAATAGAAGATAAACATGTTTTGCTCCTTTCAATACCTCCCGGAAACTATAGTCTGATTCCCTGTACTACAGCTATATTAAAATAAGGGAGAAGCCAAGTGCAGTGGCTCACACTTGTAATCCCAACACTCTGGGAAGCTGAGGCAGGATGCTCACTTGAAGTTAGGAGTTTGAGACCAGGCTGTGCAACAAAGTGAGACCCTGACTCCAAAAAAACAAAAATAAAAATAAGGGAGATAAAAAATAAACAAATAGGCCAGGCGTGGTGGCTCAAGAGGTCAAGAGATCGAGAACATCCTGGTCAACAAGGTGAAACCCTGTCTCTACTAAAAATACAAAAATTAGCTGGGCATGGTGGCGCGTGCCTGTAGTCCCAGCTACTCAGGAGGCTGAGGCAGGAGAATTGCTTGAACCCAGGAGGCAGAGGTTGCAGTGAGCCGAGATCGTGCCATTGTACTCCAGTCTGGGTAACAACAGCAAAACTCTGTCTCAATAAATAAATAAATAAGCAAATAAATAAACAAACGATCAAACAAATAAATGTAAACACTATAGCTACATATGAAATATTACACTGAACTGCATATGTTTTTCTAAGAAAGTCACTGACCACCACCTATCTAATTAACATTCCTGTTTTGTTTGTAAAAATTTCTTTAGCAGGAAATGATGTTTAAACGCTTATAAGCCTAAAAGTAAATCCTTTGAGCCCTGCAGCGCACATTATAAGGCTCCTACATTCTGAAGTCTCATATAACCTGTGACCAAGGCAATCATGCAACTCTAACATTTATGCTGGTTAATGAACAGAGTTGACTCCCTAGATTAAAACACATACTGTCTGCATGCTCTCAAGTAAGTAAAATATGAGTGTGATAAAAGTAAATATCACAGAATGGGAATTCTAGTTTTAAGTTTCACATTAGGGTGAAAAGAAACTATTACACCAATTGCTACAATATCAAATTTTATACAAATCACATCCCCAAAACATTTTAATGCCAATATTGAAAATTTTTTAAAAGCATAAAAGGAGATCTTACAGGGTAAGTTGTTTTACTTAAGTACTAGACCTAAAAAGGAAACTGTCTATACTTAATTCCATGTTTTCTGATTATTTCTCAATGCTTTACAAAAAAATTTTAAAATTAGCCTTATTAAATCTTTTCCTAAAGTTATTTTAAGAATTACTTAGATAAATTTATATATATTAGTTATATAATTTTAAAACTCATTTTTTCAAATCATACCATTTCATGCATTTGTACAAACTTTATACTCTTCTGATAATATAACCAGTGATTTCTGCTGAAACAACAAAACCTACACAGGGTGAACATCAGTCAGGAATGCAGTCATTCAGAAAGCTCTCACCAATCATCTGCCTCACCACTACTTCAACTTAATCAATAGAATTCCAACTGCTGTCCTAACTCCAGGCACTGCTGCTCAGCTAAACTACAATCTTTCATTCTGGCTCCTTCAATATATTCATCTGTTTTTGTTTGTATGCTCATGCTGGTGTAACAAAATCCAAAGTATACTAAACATAGTGCCTTGTATATAGTAGAGCTTCAATTTAGTCACTGAATTTTTGAAAAAGAAAAATCCAATAAATATGAAAATGCGAGCAAACAAAAGAGTAGCCTTTATAACCATTTCTAAAAATTTATTCTAACAAAGGCTAACATGTCAATAAAAAACAATAAGCAGAAATTTAAAATTTTTTTATATCAACCTTGAAACTAAGAAAAATAAAATAACAAAATTATAGCTTCAATGCTTAGGAGCAAGATAATATTTTAAGCCTAGTAAAGTATCATGAAATTATTCCCACAAATATTTAAAAAAGAACGAAGGTAAAGAAAAAAGTTATATGCTATAAATATTACATATACAAACAGTATGTTTTTAATTGACAAGCTCGTGAAGGTGGACCGAGTGCATGAGACAGGTGCAGATATGATAAAGAGAATGCAGTAAAGGAAAATTACTGATATTTCAATTTACTAAATGGTACTATGATCTGTGATTAATGTACAACAGGATGAATAATGTTTCTCTTAAAGCAAAGAAAAGTGACGCATTTCAATTTATAGTATTAGTCAGCCATGACTCTTCTTCAAAAAGATAAAGTGGTAAGGAATTTTGAAAGTTCATGTAATCTGTCCCTCTATCAGTTATATCTCTGGAATTCAAAAAAGGTATCTTTATCTTATCTGAAGAAATAAGATCACAACCTAATTTTACTTAAAACTATAATCAAAACATGTACCAAAAATAATGTCACTAAAAGACATGAAACTAAGCAACAAAAAAATCCAAATTATACTGTATAAAAACAAGGCCAATTCGAAGCATAAAAATATGTCCTGTAAATATGATTTCTCAATTTTAAGTGATCTATAAAAATTAGGTAAGATTCTAGTAGTAATATACCTTGAACAGTTTATGTGTGCTAAGAATCGTTCTAATAAGAAACAAGAAATAAAGCTGTGATATAAGGCATGCTTCACATTTATGCACAGCACATAACCTAGCAAAATGGTTAAACAGTTCTTTTTGAATCAACTATCCATATTTCCTATAGACATTTAATCAGATCATTTCCAAGAGGAGGAAATTACCTTGCATAAAAACTAAAGGCAGCTAAGGCACACAGAATGATATTTAAGTGCTTCTCTCAAATGGAAGAGGTGGCATTGGAAATTTCAAGTTGGAACTTCTTAAATCGATAGGTACAACAAAAGGAGTTAAAGATACCAGATCAGGTGTGAAATCTTACAGTTACTGACATATAGCTATAAGCATCCAGGATAAAGATTTGTATATTATAAGTACTCAACCTGAATTTCTCTAATGATTGTACTTACAACATTCATATCTATTAAAAGTTTCAGTGACCTTTAACATGCCTGAAAAAGCAAACACAATTTCCATACCAAAGGAATTCAAGGTTTATAGTATTTAAGCAATGGGGTGATTTAAAATGACAATCATAGACCTAGATAAACTTCTTTAAAGAAAATATTCTGAACATAATAAATAAATTTTAATTAAAAAATGAAGCAAGTCAATTTCTTTTCAACAAATCCACTGAGACTTAATGTATTACTTACAATAAGGTATCTATTATTTATAATGCTATGCTATTACTCAAGTGACAACAAAAAGCACAATCATCACATGTAATTAGTAATGACATGACAGTTTTAAAAGACCCCACATAAGTACAATTATCAATTACCAAGCTTCTATTCTGTGATCCAGCAAAACTGAATCAACAAAATATATACATGTTATCAAATATCTCTGGTTAGCTTAAATGCTTATGCTTCAGGGAAATCACAAAATAAAACAGTATCTGGAGGAAGAATTTAGAAAGAGATATTTTGTTTGTTGGTTTTAAGAACAGGTAATGGTGGCATCTAAAATTCAGAGATAAACATCTAAAATTTTCAATTTTTACACTCCAACATTTATTTCACTCTACATAGTATTCTCAATTTCACTGAACTAAAAATTACATCTTCGTATTTTATAATCTACAATACTTAATAAAATGTATAATTACCAAGTACAGCTAGAAATCAACTTCTATTTTATATGGATAAGACCATTATAAAAATAAAACAAGCCGGATTTAAGTACAGTCACATGTTGCTTAATGCTAGGGATACTTCTGAGACATTTGTTGTTATGTGAATATCATAGAGAATACTTCACAAATGAAGATAGTATATAACCTACTACACACCTAGACTCTATAATATAGCCTATTACTCCTAGGCTACAAACCCGTACAGCATGTCACTGTACTGAATACTGTAGGCAACTGTAACACAATGGTATCTGTGTATCTAAGCATATCTAAACATAGAAAGGTACTGTAAAAATATGGCATTATAGTCTCATGGAAGCACCATCACATATGTAGTTTAATTGACCAAAACATCAGTATGCAGTGCACAATTTTAACTATTTCACCAATTCAGGAAATACTCCTATTTCAAATGTAAAAAAGTTATACCATAGTAATTGTAAGATTTATAATTGAACTTTATATCAAAGAATTATTGGCCCAATTGAAAGTCAGTATGGCTATTTAAAACACTGAAATTAATCATTTCCTAAACACATTAAAAGGCAAATATATAATTTAATCCATCTAATTGTTCCTATTTAATAGTTGCTCTTGAGAAGACTAAAATAGTCAAGTTTTTCCAGTATTTTAAGGAAAAGGTGATTTCATAAAAAGATCAATAATGATTTTAAATGGAAAGTAAAAGTGACAGATGGCTCTGTAATCTTTCTCTTTTTTTATAACAGAGACAGGGTCTCACTATATTGTCCGGTCTGGTCTCGAACTCCTGAGCTCAAGCAATCCTCCTGCCTTGGCTTCCGAAGGTGCTGGTATGACAGGCGTGTGCCACTGTGCCCTTGTAATATTTTCAACCCAAATGAGCTAATAAGCACCAAAGAGGTATTTAAAAAGCAGTCTCGCCACCCCCCAAAAAAAGAGGTCTCTTGCAGTGTACATATATATTAAGAAAGAACCTGTTCTATTTTTCCTTTAGTAAGGATTTGGCGCACTTGTGTTCTTTTCTAACCTTTAGCATTTCTTCATGTATCCCATAATGCCCGTATGAGCTGAAATAAACACAATCCTCATCCTCCTGGAGGTCCGCAATGGCACTAGTAGATGACGAGCAGGTTCTGACATCTGCGTTCATCACAAAATCCTGAGCAAATTGTCTGTAATCAATTTGAAATACACCCTTGAGACAGGTTTACTGGACCATGAATAAAGGAAAGCCTAGAGGTTGAGGAAGAGGAAAGAGGACGGAGCAGAGTGTGATGGGCCTCTGAACAACTGAAAGCTCCCCCTGCTGGATCTGAAGCAATGGCAATATTCAAAAACAATTTTATGCATTCCTTCAAACTATGAAAGCAATGCCAGCTGCAGATTATAGCTCTTTATGTCTTTCAACTGAACAAAATAAGCATATTACTTTTATTATCCTCTATTATTTCTATTGCTTTAAAATCCCTTTTTTGCAACTTAATCAATATAGCATATTTCAGATCTATTAACATTCTTTAAAAACTATATTAATTTATTGGGAATGTTATTCAAGCAGAAAGTAGACCCAACTAGGTAATTATCTACATACACCAGTACCACCCACTCCAGCTCTTAAACTTAGATCCCTCTCGGATCATGACATATTAGGAAAATTATTAGGTACACATAAGGGGAAAGTGCAAAGGGGCAGAAGGTCAAGTTGGTGTTGGTTACTAGGTTATTTAGCATAAAAATTCTGACACAGGGAAGAGGAACTACAATTGGCTCTACTATCTTTCCTGCTGGACATTCATTCTGGCAAACCCTCAAATGGGTACTAACGCAACAGCAAACAGCTTACAAATCCAACAGGAAGATCTGTGAGGTACACTTGTTAGAAATGCAGAATCTCAGGCCCTACTCTCAATCTCCTGAATCAGAAACTGCATTTTTAACAGGATCCCAGTTGATTCCTATGCACATTAAACGTTGAAAAGTACTACACCAGTAGAATGCTAATTTACTCAATGGAAAAACTGTCACCATGTATCTGGTTTTCTGGTTTCACACTATACCATAATTACATTTTGATTTTTTTTTTTTGTCACCGAGACAAAGTCTCGCCCTGTTGCCCAGGCTGGAGTGCAGTGGCTCCATCTCGAATCATTGCAACCTCCACCTCCCGGAATTAAACAATTCTCCTGCCTCAGCCTTCTGAGTAGCTGGGATTACAGGCACATACCACCACACCTGGCTAATTTTTGTATTTTTCGTAGAGATGGGATTTCAACATGTTGGCCAGGCTGGTCTCAAACTCCTGACCTCGTGATCCAACCATGTTGGCCTCCCAAAGTGCTGGGATTACAGGCGTGAGCCACCAAGCCCAGCCTACATTTTGATTCTTTAAAAATAAAAATTTCAACCCTGTATTTTCCCCCAAACCTCAAAAAGATTAATCCCTCCACTTAAAATCTAGGATAGAAAAAGCAACAGGAGAAATCAACTAGAAACAGGAAAAAATGAAAGGAAGGCAATATTAAAGAACAAAAACATTAATGAAAACATTTGTCATAACATATCAGAATAGGTAAAACCATAAAATTTTATATTAACTACATGCATAATGTATAAAAATGATGCATATCTTTAACAGTATGAAGATAAAATACCAACATTGTACTTTCCAGTATATGAAATGTTCTACTATATTCTACCTTGCCATTGGTTGTATTATTTTGGGGATCTAAACAATTAATTTTCGTAAGATTGATAAATTACTTCATTTTTTGCAGATCCTCACGTGCTCTAGCTAAGGCAGCTTCAGCAGACAGTGCCCTGGCTTCCATATGTTTCAATTTTTCAACAACAGATGTATTTTCACTGAGTCCATTGGGGTATGAGAAGGGTACTGACACCGGTTCATAAAGATCTTCTACATCTAAGGAAATAAATGGACATTATTATCAGGCCGTCTTATAACGATAAAACAAGTAAAAATATGTTAGGAATAAACATGCCCTAAGTTTCTATTATGTGGCCAATTGAGAAAGATTAGTGAAAGTACTTTTTATTAAATATTTATCATCTTGGCTGGGCACAATAGCTCATGCCTGTAATCCCAGCAGGTTGGAAGGCAGGCAGATCACTTGAGGCAAGTTCAAGACCAGCATGGCCAACATGATGAAAACCCGTCTCTACTAAAAAAATATAAAAAATCAGCAGGGCTTGGTGGTGCGGGCCTGTAGCCCCAGCTACTCAGGAGGCTGAGGCAGGAGAATCACTTGAACCTTGGAAGTGGAGGTTGCAGTGAGCCGAGATTGCACCACTGCACTCCAGCCTGGTGCCTGGCAACGGAGCAAGACTCTGTCTCAAAAAAATATATATATTAATTAATATTCATCATCTAAACTATTTCAGTTTGAATTCAAAGAGCATGCTGTTAGTCTAAGTTTTTCATTACTTCGCTAAACTGAACACATATTTAAGTATTAATTATACTCAACCAAATCCAGAAAGAAAGAAAAAAGTAGAAAGAAAAAAACTAATATTTACTGATCAGCAGGTATCTTTCAAGTACATCATTACATCTCATTTTATTCTTAAAACAAAGCTAAGATATATTTATCCCTATTTTAGGCATGGAAAAAATAAATTTCAGACAAATTGACTATTCCAAAGTTATATATCTGTTTATAGAGGAACTAAGATTTAAACCCACACCTGCCTTCCCAGTTCATGTTCTTGCCATTACACAAAGCGACCTCCTAGCCCATGTCCTTATTATAGCAGGTATTAAATTCAGATATTCCTTAAGGGAAACCGTGCCATATATGACAATATGAATGAACATGGAGGACATTATGTGAAGCAAAATAAGCCAGACAAATACTGTGTGATCCCACTTTTGTGTGAAATTAAAAAAAAAACAAACTCACAGAAGCAGAGAGTGGAAAGGTGGTTGCCAGAGGTTGATTATCAGGGGAAATGGGGAGATGTTAGTCAAAGGGTACAAACTTTCAGCTACAAGATGAGTAAGTTCTGGGCATCTATCTATGGTACAGTGACTGTAGTTGAAAATGCTGCACTGTATACTTGAAATTTGCAGACAGTAGATCTTAAGTGTTCTCACCACAAAAATAAAAAATGGAAAGGTGATGATGTTAATCAGCTTGCTTATGGTAATCACTTCACAATGTATACGCATATCAAATCATCACACTGTGTACCTGAAATGTACACAATTTTCATTTATATCTTAATAAACCTGGAGGAAAAAAAATTCCTAACAGTGTGTAAAGAATTCCACATATTCAACAATTTCTCATACCAGGCAAGGTGGAGTGAAATCTATACACTAAGTCATTGCTGATATTACTAAATATCCTAATTCCCAGTATTATTTTTAAATTATTGATTTAATTTTAATTTCACTACATTTAAATCACTGACTTCTGTAGAATTAACAGCTCTGCAAAAAGAAGTTAACATATGTAGTTAGTGAATTTCACAAAATCAATGCCCATTTACTGGTGTAACTTTCAGACCAACTTAAGGCAATAAGTAGTGCAAATATTACATTTTCCCCTCAGGATGGCACTGGGAGAAATGTGACTTTGTAAAAAATCCTATTCAGTTTCTCGTTGTGAAGATACGTCTTCAAAGTGAGGACAAAATAGCTAAACTTAACGGATGCATAATACCATAAGAGACTACAGTCCAAGTTGAATTCCTGTTATAAAAGCAGTGCAGGGTGTAACTAGCTTCTCATTACTCTGGAAGAATATTGAGTCACTGAGGTTTAAAAACTGCATTCATTATCTAATCCACCAAAAATTAATAAGCACAACAAAATATTTCCAAACTATTTAAGGCTGGTGTACCGTATTTTCTACTTCCTACTACAAACCTCATTTTGTATTTTGATTTCAAAATTCTTCAAACTCTTTGGGCAGTTTCTGTTTTGCTTTCTGCTGCAATAAAAACTAGTCATAATAAAAACTTTTTAATGTTAAGAACAGGTAGATAATTATACAATTAAAGATGAAACTTAGAGATTTGAAAAGGAGAAAGGATTCAGTAAACAGTAGATTCCTAACTAAAACATGCTAAAATAGTCTAATTTAAAGGCCTAAACCATATTCAGAAAGACAATTTTCCACATCTACCTTCTGTTTCAGGATGTCCAAATCACCTGGATACTTATTCTAGGCAGAGAAAAATTATAGCAAAAGGTGGCCAATTTTTCCATAAAATATAGCAATTATAAATGTGTATAAACCTCACATAAGAGCTCCAAAATACCCGAAGCAAATAAAGGCAAAAACAGACAATCCTTTAATCACAGAATTTTGTTCTTTTTTCAAAATTAAGAGTCTTCTTCTGTCACCTGTATCCCAGGTTCAAGCGATTCTCCTGCCTCAGCCTCCCATGCAGCTGGGATTACAGTCACCTATCACCATGGCCAGCTCATTTTTGTATTTTTAGTAGAAACAGTATTTCACCATGTTGGCCAGCCTTGTCTCAAACTCTTGACCTCAAGTGATCCACCCGCCTCAGCCTCCCAATGAGCCACCGTGCCTGGCAATCACAGAGATTTAAACATATGCCTCTCAACAATCAAAAGAACTATATAAAATATATCCAAAAAGACATAAAAGATATCTAAATAAAATTATTCAGCACCATGACCTAATTAGCATTTATAGAATACTGTACCCAGTAACTGGAGAATATATACTCTTTTCAGATGTAAATAGTATGTTCACCAAGAAAAACTATGTCTACGTGCCTGGGCATAAAACCAAGTATCAATGAATATATATTTAGAAACAGAGTTTTGCTTTTGTTGTCTAGGTTAGAGTGCAATGGTGCAATCTCAGCTTACTGCAACCTCTGCCTCTCAGGTTCAAGCAATTCTCCTGTCTCAGCCTCCTGAGTAGCTAGGATTACAGGCACCTGCCACTATGCCAGGCTAATTTTTTGTGTTTTTAGTGGAGGGTTTCTCCATGTTGGTCAGGCTGATCTTGAACTCCTGACCTCAGGTGATTCACCTGCCTTGGCCTCCCAAAGTGCTAGGATTACAGGATTACAGTGCCAAATATCAATAAACTTAAAATGGTTGAAATGACACTATATGATCACTGACTACAGTGGAACCAAATTAGGAATCAATTAATAAAAATTAGGAATCAATTAATAAAAAGTTGTTTCGAGGAAAAAACCAAACATTAGAAGTTTAAATAATACATTATGCCATGCACTCATCTGGTTACTTCTCATTAGTCTCTTCCAGTGTGTAACAGTTCCTCTGTCTTTGTTTTTCATGATCTTGACACTTTTAAAGGGCACTGATCAGTAATTTTATAAAATGCCCCTCAACCTGGGTTTGTCTGATATTTTTTCATGATTGCATGAAGTTATACATTTTTGGCAATAACACCAGATAAAACTCAGTGCATCACATCATAGGCTTCGCGGTGACTATGTCTTATTACTGGTCATATTAAACTCTTCTACTTGGTTGTGTTAACTGTCCACTGGCTTTCTTTATTAAAGTTTCCTACTCCTTTGTAGTTAATACATTTCTTTGGAAGATACTTTGATCTATACAAATCCTGTTTTGCCTTAAATTTTTGCCCAGTTATTGTAGCCTCAATTGGTGGATCTTTTCTGCAAGTAATTATTGCGGTATTTGCCTAAAGGGGATTTTCTAATTCTCTCTTTCCTTCTATATTAATAGGAATGCTGTACTATGGTTCAGCTGCTCCTTTTCCATTTATTTATTTGGTTATTTTTGTTTGCATGGACTCATGGATATTTACTTCATCCAACAGACTGAAATCTAATGCTGTTGTTATTTTCTGTGTTGTTCAAATCATTCTAGTATTGGCCATCAGAAACTCCTTCAGGTTAGTTCCTGTGCTCTTTTGATAAGTATTCCTCTTCTTTAAGTACTTCCTTATTTTCTGGCACAAGATGTCCCAGATTCATCTTGTATTTTTCCTCCCCCATGCCTAGAGTCAATCATCACTTTAAGGAGCCTTGGTTCCTTTTATTACAGAAAATATTAGAAATTAAGATTTGGGCATTAGGTGCATTCATTGCCATTGGGGTTTTTCTAGGCCCTCTCAGCAAACAGAGCCAGGAAATATATGCATATATACTAACCCACACATGCACATACATCTACTATTTCTGTATCTATCTGTGTATACATTAAAAACTGTAAGTTTATACTGATAGCTCTATTTCCAATCTATCATCACAGGATTCATTTTCTTCTTTTCCAGTTTCTTATTAGGAAGTTCTTTCTCTAGCAGTGAGAAATCTGGCTCTTATCATCCATAATATACATATTTACTTTTTAATTCTAGGATACACAAAAAGTTGTCAGAATTGCTAATCCATAACCCATAAGAAACACTTTTACTTACTAAATTACAGCATTTATGTAGTTCTTTTTACCTTTAGCCTTGCCACAGTATCTAATCAAGACTCCAGTTATTTAGTTTTCTCCCCCAGTCCTTTCCGTGTAGTTATGCTTTTCATTTGTAATACGGTAATGTTTACTTGTCAGTGTTTGTACTCCATTTTGTACCATCACCTTCCTCCCCTACCTACCCCTCCACATCCTGGTTTTTTTCAATTGTTTATTTTTGATTAAAGGACGACTACGAGAAACACTACTATAATCCCTAAAGTTAGAGCCAAACAAAAAAATATTATTCAGAAGTGTCACTCCTTCATTACCCTGTTACCCATTCTCGTTGCACCCTTCTTTTCATCCCTTTCCCACTAACCCCTGGAAGTAAGAAACCCTTTAGTTTCTGATTTATCCTTCTTCCATTTCTTTTGCACAAATGAGCAACATTTTCATTTGCTCAAATTCCTTTTTTTTTTGAGACAGAGTCTTGCTCTGTCACTCAGGCTGGAGTGCAGTGGCGTCATCTCGGCTCACTGCAACCTCCGCCTCCCAGGTTCAAGTGATTCTCCTGCCTCAGCCTTCTAAGTGGCTGAGATTACAAGCGTGCACCACCATGCCTGGCTAATTTTTGTATTTTTAGTAGAGACAGGGTTTCACCATGTTTGTCAGGCTGATCTCAAACTCCTGACCTCATGATCTGCCTGCCTCCCGAAGTGCTGGGGTTACAGGTGTGAGCCACCTCACCCAGCCAAATCCCTTCATTTCTTACACAAAGAGTAGCACAACACACTCTTCTGGGCTTTGCCCTTTTTCACTTAACAGTATGTCCTGGATATCACTCTGTATCAGTTCAGAGAGCTTTGTTCTTTTTAAAAGGTGTGTACTACTCCAAATGTGACAATTCTCCTATGCAAGGACATTTAAGTTGTTCCCAACATTCTGAAATTACAAAGCTAAAATCAGTAACTTTATGTACATGTAGTTTCAGAATGTAGGAGGTATACCTTCAAGATAGATTCCTATGAGATTGCTAAGTTAAAAAGCACATATATAATTTTGTTAAGTACTGCCAAATTTGCATTCTATTATCAACAGTGAGAGTGCCTATCTAACCCACAGCCTCACCAACAGAATGTGTCATCATTTAAAAAAAGTTTTCCAGGCCTTTGCCCTGATCCAGCAGAAAATTAACTAAGACACCCATACCTTTTTTTTTTTTTTTGAGGCAGGGTCTCACTCTGTCACCTAGGCTGAAGGGCAGTGGTACAATCTCAGTTCACTGCAACCTCCCCACCACCCCCACCCTGCTTAAACAATCTTCCCACCTCAGCCTCCCAAGTAGCTGGGACCACAAGTGTGCACCACCACACCCAGCTATTTTTTTTTTTTAATATATTTTTAGTAGAGACGAGGGTCTTGCCATGTTTCTCAGGCTAGTCTTGAACTCCTGAGCTCAAGCAATCTGCTTGCCTCGGCCTCCCAAACTGCTGGGATTACAGGCGTAAACTACTACGCCCAGCCATTCTGGTTACTTTTTAGGTCTAAAAAGAGCTCTGAAGCCTGCTAGAACTTCATCTTCATCATAAAACCTGGGTATCCATAATCCCTTATCTCAGTCCAGACATTCCCTCCAGTTGATTCCAGTTCTTTAGATACTAATTCTTTCAATCAACTGCCAATCATAAAATCTTTGAATCCATTTATGACCTGAAGCCACCACCCCATCCCTTCAAGTTGTCCCACCTTTCTGGGCCAAACCAATGTACTTCTTATATGTACTGACTGATGTGGTATGTCTCTGTAAAACATACAAAACCAAGCTGTAGCCTGACATGTTGGGCACACGTTCTCAGGATCTCCTAGAGCTGTGTCAAGGTCCTCATATTTGGCACGGAATAAATCTCTCAAATATTAGAGTTTGACTTTTTGTCAACAAATTTATTCTCTCAAGTCTCCCTGTTTTAAAACATACTGTACAAAATGTTCAAATAAGCTCATACTTGTTTTTTTTTTTTTTTTTTTGAGACCAAGTTTCATTCTTGTCACCCAGGTTGGAATGCAATGTGAGATCTTGGCCCACCGCAACCTCCACCTCCTGGGTTCAAGTGATTCTCCTGCCTCAGCCTCCCCAGTAACTGGATTACAGGTGTCCACCAACCACACCCAGCTAATTTTTACTTTTTTTTTTTTAATAGAGACAGGGTTTCCCCATATCGGCCAAGTTAATCTCAAACTCCTGACCTCAGGTGATCCTCCACCTCACAAAGTGCTAGGATTACAGGTGGGAGCCTCCACACCTGGCCACAAGCTCATACTTTTAAATTCCTTTCTGGTAATGTTAGTGTGATTATTAGTTTTTAAGCAACTTAACTTTTCCATTGAAACCAACTACCTGATGAGGCATTTAGAAAAATTTAAAAGGCATGTCTATTCCTAAAACACTTTACCTCCATTTTGCCGTAACAAATGGCCTTATGTTAATTGTAGACATACTTATGTTCATCTTACCAAATTGAAGTAAAAGGTCATCTTCTAATACCGGCTTCAAATACTCTTCTTTCTCCCAAGGCACTGGGTTGTGTATAGAATTCATATACTCAACTGTAGGATTCTGGATATAAAATTAATTGTATGTTTTTTTCCATTACATATAACCACAAAATCTCCTTAGTAAAAACTACAGAAATTTAACAAAAAGGAAATCACATCTGCATTACTCAAAATCAGTATATCTCTAAGAAGTCTGTATATACTTGTCATTTCATTAACTTGTTGGATGATTGCTTAATCAGTAGTTTCAATGCAGAGGGTTTTTTTTTTACTATTTGGATTTGGGGAAAGCGTTGTCATGTCATTAAAGATTCCTTTAAATGGACAAAAACACCCACAAAGTATTTGAAAAAACAGAACAAAAAAGAACCAAAATACTTAAAATGACATTAGAAATTACTTCTGATTTCACAGATCTTCTCCATCAATACGTCCCTTTATCTGACACTGAATTACTTTTTCACATACACTGATTCATCTCTTAGATGCAGTGAAAATAACACCTGTTAGTTATGGTAGACATTTACATGGTGCTTTCTGTTATGCTAGTTCCTAATGTCCACAAGTCCCCCAATATGGGTACCAAATTTAACACAGTTCTTCATATAACAATTCCACATATTCTTTTAAATAATCAGTAGTCTGACTGATTAAATCATCAGTAGACTCAAGTCAATGTAGCATTTCTTTAATTTCTAAACAAAATTATAAATTAGGCTGTCAACTTACCTTAAGTCTAATAAAATTTATTAGTTTAATGTATCCATAAAATTCAAGTCCTAAAGAGAGAAAAAAGAAAATTCACCTGTTTTAACATAATGTGAATTTTGTTTAATTGACCTGTTCTATAAGGGATCTCTGATTAAATAATAAAATACTTCTCACTCTAAATTACAACTGATATTGTGAATTGTACTAAGAATTAGAATAATACTTCTGAATATTCTGAGAAACAGCCATAGATGACAAATTAAAGTTTTTGTCGTATTTCTAAAAAGATGGGAAATTGATTTTTAAAATTCTATTCCTTTGTCAGAACAATACAAATCTGGAAAATTAGGTCCTACATTTTACCAAGTATTTGATAATTGTTATCAGCTAAAAATTTTAAATCCTTAATTTTTATGGCTTGTATGAAATTATAATTTTGCCAGGACATGATGTATACTAGCTTTTACATGAAGTTAAATGATACAAACCCAATGAGGTTTGTTATCTGGTTCTCATATCTTTCCAGAAATGAAGCAGCATCTATAACAAAGGAAAGCAGTAATATATCCAACTAACCAATTATTTCTCATAAAACTGTTGTTATGAGAAAGCTTTAATAGTATAGAAACCCCCTATATTGGTAAGTGAAAACAAATATAAAATTATATCTCAAGTATGATTCTAATACTTTAGAAATACAACATTAAAAACATTTAAAAATGAGGCTGTCATTTATACCTTACAAAAGTACTTCAAGTTGAATTTATGAGTTATAAACATGCGATACCACGTATTTATCTGACACTGAAGTATCTGTCTAGTATTTGCTATTCCTCAATAATGTCCCTCCTTAGTTTTCAACAAATATAGGGACCAAAAGACCAATTCTGTATTTAGTTAATTTTTTGTAGTGTAGCTCTTCTATATCCATTTAAAGAAGTGGAAGGCCTTAATTGTAAGGCAAGTTTGTTTAAATAAAAGTTTCAATAGAAACAGCACCTGAATGTTTTGCTTCATTACTCTTTTTCCAGTGTCTACCAAACTTTGTACAAAACGCAGTCTCACAGGCCGTGAAATTCATGTCATGCTTTGAGCTGTCTTTTTTCAAATGACCTACCTCCTTTTTCAAATTCTATCTCTATGCTTGCTCTCCCTAATTCTAATATGTAATCACATAAAATGTAAAAATGTAATCACATGCCAAGCCTGTTTTTCCATTTAGTTGTAAAGCTAATATAAGCTTAAATATAGTGACTCTTGTCTAGAAGAGTAATTATTTCCTCAAGGACCACTTGTCAAAAAACTCCATTTCCACATAAGATGTTGCTGTATGATTCACCATATTAGACTTGTACAGAAAAAGGGTCTGGAAAACTATAATATCTGAACTTAAATTTCACACCTTTTTTTTTTTTGAGACAGAGCCTCACTCTGTCGCCCAGGCTGGAGTGCAGTTGTGCCATCTTGGCTCACTGCAACCTCCACCTCCCGGGTTTAAGCGATTCACCTGCCTCAACTTCCTGAGTAGCTGGGATTACAGGTGTGTGTCACCACGCGCAGATGATTTTTGTATTTTAGTAGATATGGGGTTTCACCATGTTGGCCAGGCTGGTCTCAAACTCCCAACCTCAAATGATCCACCCACCTCAACCTCCCAAAGTGCTGAGATTACAGGCGTTAGTCACCATGCCTGGCCAAATTTCACAACTTGGATTGCCTTTATTCTAAAAAAATACTCACCATGTTTATGAACCATGCTATCAATATTAAATTGATGCTCAGACTTACAGTGTGAAAATGTTTCTTCAGCAGACGCGAATAACCTGAAAAATCAAGCAACAGCTTCATGGAATAGTCCCCTAAGAAATCTAAATACTGATTTTATATTACATATACACTTTTTTTTTTTTTTTTACTCTGCTGGTTTCTAGTTTTATTTCCAATTAAGAAAAAACAAACACACTTGTATCTGAAAGGAATGGAACTCAGCACTTCCAAAGGGAATTAATTAGTACTTCTGAGTCCCATTTTACACCTAAAACCAATTATCCTTTAAATGTCAAAGTTAATTAATTTGTCAAATAATATCACTGATTTTATCAAAAGGCTTTTAAGAGAGTTCCCTTTGATAGATTCTGTTTCTCTTAAGTCATACAATTTCCCTACTTGAGATTCTTTTCTCCTCTAAGTGTCAACTCTGCTTTCAGAGGCTTTGAACTGGCACAGTTCAAACTGCTTTTAGAAATAAAGCATAAAATGTAATTTTACAGCTGGCATATTAACAAAGTGCATTATTTCAAAAGTGATCTTGTGGTGTTCCCAACATACCTGCATTACAGACACTGCGAGCATCAAACCTCTTTATTATGTGACATGCAAATCTGAAGGACATTTAAAGACAGGAATACACAGCAGAGAAGCTGCATACCGTATCTCTATTCCTAACACATGTGGAGCATTAGTTTTCAACAAATGTTTACCGAGATAGGTTATCTGGAGTATTTATGAATGCTATCCCAGGCACTGCACCCCTAGTGCTCAATAAATATTTTATGACAACTAGAATATATGCAGGCATTCCACCTACCCAATGGGGCGACAGATGAGAACACTAACACACCACCAATCAGCACCATGTCCAGATACAGAGAATACTGGAAAATGTATTAAAGTAACACTGGCCAATGCCAACAGGGCCTCTTACATGCCTACTTGCCTAGGACAGCAGCCAAGGCTTCCCAAGACGAACAGTCACAATTTTAAGTGGCAGGAATGTGAATTTGGAAATAAGCACACCACAGCTTTGTGACTTTGAGCAAATGATTGATACTGCAGTCTCTTTTTCCCTAAGTGAAATATCCTACTTAAGGAAGGTGAACTTCCTTCTTAGACCACCTAAACCGCTCAAATACAACAGAAATGTTTCACCTGAGAAGCTCTCTACTGCTCAAAGAATTAGCATGTAGCTGGAAGGCTCCTTAAGTTCAGTGTGGCTCCCAAATTTGTTACTCATTAGTAACTTCATTGTTACTTCTGATCTTGTCCTTATAAAAACAGAAGATTCCTAGACCTTGTTCCTGACTTAGAAGGATTCAGGTGCAGAGTTCAGCATCATTTTGTTGTCGTTTTTTCAGTCTCAAGGGACAAGATTTGGGAACCACAGATTCAATGCACTACTAGTCAAAAGCTCGTAGTACAATCGGCCTTCCAGTTCACGGCTCCCCCTCTCTACTACAGAGGGTCCTCTTCCACAAGCCCTCACCCCAGACCAGCGGTTGCAGAATTCAAGGACAGGCCACTCTGGTTCGCCTCCTGCCCGAAGTGGTTCCTGGGCACATAGACCACACGCGGTCGGGCACCCCAGGGCAGGGGCCAGGCGCTAAGGCGGACGAACCTGTTACAGAACAGGCAGGGGGTCTGCTGCTTGTCGTGGGGGAGATCAGCATCGTCCTCATCCTCCCAGGCGGCCTCGTCCCCGCTGTCAGACAGTTCTGGCAGGTCCTCATCCTCCACAGCGCCACGGCCGCCTAACACACGCACAACAATCAGATAGGCCTCGGATACCGGTGCGGCCCAAGTGCTCGAGGAACAGGTGAGAATGGGCTTCCCACTTCCTGTTCGCCCGCGGCCCTCATTCAGCAACTCCTCCGTGCTCCCTGGGAGCCCCCCACCCCGCTCGGGCCCGCGTCCAATAGGGTATTCCACTGGCCCCACAGAGGCGCGGCCTGGGGGCGAGCGAGCCTGGTGCTGAGGGGCCAGGGGTACCCACCGGTAGCTCCTGACGCTAACGAGCACATGGCTGTGGTGCCCGAAGAGCCCGGCGTGTCTGGGGGCGGGGACCGGGTTGGGCAACGAGCGCGCGCAGCGGCCGCCAACTCCGGGAACGAGCGCGAGGAGAAGCGCGAGCCCGCGGCAGGCCGGGGGCTCCGGTAATTTCGCAGACCACCGGGAACGCCGGAGCGCGCGCGCTTGCGGCCTCGAGGCGCGGTGCGGGTCACGTGGGGTGGGGGCGGGGCGAAAACGGGGGCTCCACCCTCTCCTGACGCAAGGTTGACGCAGCGCGCGCTGAGGAGGCGCGTTGATGACGCTGAATGTTGCAGCCCAGGAGGTGACTTTTGTCCCCTTCTTGGGCTGGGGCCGGCGTTAGCGGGAGGTCCTGGCCCGCAGCCCTGAGCCCCGAGGCAGAGAGACGCCGCAGTGGTTTTGCTGTTGGCATCCTGTCCTCTGTTCGCCCCACAGAGCGGTTAGCGGAGGGGCGACCGGCCCTTAACGCCCTCTGGTGGCGGATGAGGCCAAACGCTGGAGGCTCGGCTGGTTTCTGGGCTCTCAGGTCCTGGAGTGGGTGCAGCTGGCGAAAGGGAACGAACTGTATGGGCCTGGACGGGTCTACTGCAGGGACAGATAGGAGCCAAAGCCCCCAAAATGGATTTTAATCTTTGGTTAACTGAGAGCGTGAACGCCAGAGGCAGCTTACTGGGTTTGAATCCTACCCACGTCACTTTGTAACTATTGAGCAAGTTACTCGACCTCTCTCTGCCTCAGTTTCATCAAATACAAAACCAGGATAATAACTGCACTAACCTCAGCAGTATAGTAAGGATAAAATGAGTTAATACATGTAAAGTGTTCAGACACTTGGTCCTAAACAATGGGAAACGGTTAAACTATTTTTAAGCCAAGGCAGTGATGCTCTCGGATTTGTTGAGAAAGTAACATTCTGAGTGCTGTGTGGGGAAGAATACAAATGTTCCCCTGCCTGCCTCATGCCACTTCCTTCTTCCTTTCCTAATATCTATTCAAACCATAGAATTAATTTTTTTGGGGGGTGGGGACAGAGTCTCGCACAGTTGCCGGGTCTGGAGTGAGCGATCTCTTCTCACTGCAACCTCCACCTCCCGGGTTCACGTGATTCTCCTGCCTCAGCCTCCCAAGTAGCACACAGGTGCACACCACCACACCTGGCTAATTTTTTATATTTTTTTAGTAGCGACGGCCAATTTTTTATATTTTTTTAGTAGCAACGGGGTTTCACTAAGTTGGCCAGGCTCGTTTCGATCTCTTGACCTGGTGATCTGCCCGACTCCGCCTCCCAAAGTGTTGGGATTACGGGCCTGAGCCCCTAATTCTTTCTTAGGCCAGCATTCTTTCGCAGGAGGGAGTGCCCGAGGCCCTAGCACAGTTTAAATTGGCCTACCAGGCCCTGCATAATCCTGCTTCTTTCCAACTTGCCCTCAGCCTTTTATTTACTGCTAATCATTGAATCCTCTACAAGTGGGTAAGTCCTTTTGGTCTCAACCAGAAACACTTTCCTCAAGCCACCATTTCCAAAATAGTTTCCACCATTGCTTCAGAAGTATCTTGTTCGTTTCTTAGCACCTACCATTTGCTTACTTGATTTTTTTTTCTTTCTTTTTTGGTGATACCCCACAGCGCTGCACAATAAGGGTAAGGACCATGTCTCTTTACTTTCATTTCTCTGGCACATAATAATATATGGTCTGGCCCATAGTATTAATAGACACTGAATTTATTTACTGAATGAAAATTATGTCTTATATATTGCTAAATGTATTTCTGAATGTACTCCTTTCCCTTCATTGAAAAATTCCTAAAGGACAGAATCCATCAAATAATTAGTTTTTGTTTTTTTTTTACTTTGAGACAGAGCCTTGCTCTGTCACCCAGGCCGGAGTGCAGCAGTGTGATCTTGGCTCACTGCAACCTCCACCTCCTGGGTTCAAGAGATTCTCCTGCCTCACTCTCTGAGTAGCTGGGATTACAGGCGCCCACCACCATGCCCGGCTAATTTTTGTATTTTTAGTAGTGGTAGGGTTTCACCATGTTGGTCAGGCTGGTCTTGAACACCTGTCCTCAAGTAATCCACCTACCTCAGCTTCCCAAAGTCCTGGGATTACAGGCGTGAACCACTGTGGCTGGCCCAAATATTCGTTTGGAAGCTTTCTTACATTCTAGGACATTGTCAAAATAGCTGCTGGCTCCCTTGAGTTGGAGTCATTGTTCATGGATGCATTCCCAATGCCTATGTGCTCAGTGGTTGCTAGGAGGCACTGAATAAGCATTTGCTGAATGAATCAATGAATTAAACACTTTTGATTACATGGGCCCATCCAACTTTTCCCTTCATCCTTCCAACATAAACTTTTTCTGTGTGTGTAAAATGTGGTGGAAAACTTCCTGAATCCCTTAGTACTAAATGGAACACTCAGTCCTTTCATTGCTGACGATAAAACAAGTTAACACCCAGTGTGGAGGATTGGCCAAGAATCTTGTTCCTTAGAAAGTTCATATCTCATCACAATGCAGAGCTCAAGAGAGGGCTGCTTTTCTCTCTACTCCCAAGGTGAACACAGACCCTTCCTCATCCCACATCACTACTGAGACCATTATAACATGTTGAATAAAACCTGCTCGAAGGTTTGTAAGGAAATAATATAAGGAAAATAACTTAAAACAGGCCACTGGGTTTAGCTGCTTTCAGAGCCCAGAGGCCTCAGCATATTTTCAGCCCATGCTTTTTCACCACCAAAACCACACATTTAGGCTCTTCAAAGTCCAGCTCCCAGGGAACCCCACCTGGCAGGAGGAAGATAATTCCATTTCCTTCTAAAGCTCACATTTCAAGATTCCACCGTGCCCTAAATTTTGCCTCTTTTCTGGGTGACTGACATTGGGAATGTCTACTCCCTTCTAAGGATATACACCCCAAATTAAAGGGCATGGCCTTTATCCTCCAGTGTATACTGAAGCTTGAAATGTATTTGACACACTGCAGGCCTTGGAAAAATTGACTGAATCACTCAAATCACTTTGCTTTCCTGGTGTAGACGTTAAGTTTCACCATCTTTTGTTCCATGATGGAAATTAGCAATGTGTGCTCCCCTTGGCTTTGACCTTTTCTTCGGCATCTTCCTTTGTCTTAATTTTTAAAGTGCAGCAGCATGAGCACTTTAAAGTTTGGTGGCATAGAATTTTACTGGCTATGTGAACATTTTGTGGTTAATCACTAGAACAAAGGAGAAACCCAAATATTTCCATTTTGTTCATCCACAACATGTAGTAACAATTAACTGGAACTACCTGGAAATATACAGAAACAGAGTGATCTTGCAGGGTCATTAAAAACACATCTGTGAGATCTAATGGGATCAGGCAGACCTGGGTTAGAATCCTGACTGTCATTTCTTAGCTTCAGTTCTTCAGCTGTGGACTCTTGAGCAAGACACTTAACCACAGTGAGCCTCATTTCCCCATCTAAGACATGAAGATCATGATAGTATAACTTTATAAGGATAGCTTATAAGGAGGGTTAAAGCACAGATAACACATGTAAAGCCTGGTACTTAGTAAGCATATCACCCCATAGGCTGAAATGCTGCATCATATCACCACTACCACATGGGCATTTTCTTTCTTTTTTTTTTTTTTTTAGACATAGTCTTGCTCTGTCACCAGGCTGGAGTGCAGTAGCACAGTCTTGGCTCACTGCAACCTCCACCTCCTGGGATCAAGTGATTCTTCCACCTTAGCCTCCCGAGTAGCTGGATCCACAGACATGTGCCACCACACCTGGCTAATTTTTTTTTTGTATTTTTAGATTTTTAGTAAAGATAGGGTTTCACTATGTTGGCCAGGATGGTCTCGATCTCTTGACCTTGTGATTCGCCTGCCTCAGCCTCCCACAGTGCTGGGATTACAGGCGTGAGCCACTGTGCCCTGTCATTACATGGGAATTTTCAAACAATCTAAGAGGTACCCAAGAGTTGTCCATTTATCTTTATTCCTTTATTTAATCTTCCACATGTATTCTTAGGTATATAACTTCTATTACATAAAGAAGTAGTAAAGGCACAATGTTTACTTAGAAGTTACATGTAGTTAATTAGCACTTTTGTAATTCAGAGAGAAGAATGTCAACAGTTTTAGAGCAGAGCTCATATGCATGGTCATAAGATTTTCACTGTTGCTGTGACTCTGCAGACAATCATTTCAAAGCAGGCTTCCCAACCAGTGGCATCAGGGGAAGTATGGACAAGGAAATTACACATTATTGTGCCAACACTCCCAGAAATTGTGACTCAAGTTGGAGATAGGGCTTACAAATCTTTATTTTTCCAAAACTCCCTGGGTGATATATATATATATAACAGGCTCTGAACCACTGATGCAGAGCACCATCATTTCTTGATTGGAATGGATGCCTGAGAATAGTAAAACAATAAAATTAAAACATGCTGGCTTTTTTTAGACCCTGAAATTACCGATTTGGTGATGGGTGTTAAAGTTGACAGTAAAAACAATTACTCTAGTGTGCACGGCTTGAGAGAGCCATCCGCTTTCCCCAGATCATGGATGGCCTTGTTCTCCAGCAGTTCCATCTTCTTGTCGCTTGGTCTCACTGCATTGTTCAGCATTGCTCTAACCACAGTCACCACAGGCACAGAATGCCCACTAGCCCAAGATGCTGGTAAGGAGCCAAAGAACTTTCTAACGAACCATTCACCTGGGCGAGATTCTTGCCTATCACATAACAGAACTCTTTAAAAAAAACGGAAAGGAAAGCAGAGGAAGAGGTGGTAAATTGCACTGAGACCACAGTGGGCATTATGGACCAAACTGTATCCCCTCAAAATTCTAATGCTGAAGCCCTAACCCCAATGGGTCTATCTTTGAAGATAAGGCATTAAGAGAAGTAATTAAGATTAAATGAGGTCTTAAGGATGGAACAGGACTAGTGTGATGAGACTGGGGTCCTCATAAGAGGAAAAGACATCAAAGGTCTCTCTCTCTCTGCATACATAAAGAAGGCCATGTGAGGACACTACCAGAAGGCCGCCTATCTGCCAGCCAGGAAAAGAGGCATCACCAGATATCAACACTGAGGGCACCTTGATCTTGGACTTCCAATCTCCAGACCATGTGA